CAATAATGTCAGGCGCAATGACCCCTACAGCAACACGTACAATGTGGGTTCTCTCCTGTTAGGTCGAATTTGATTGTTCTGTTTTCCCCCGTCTTTGAATGGATTGTCGGAGTTTTTATCGGCGGCGGAACATAGAAGGATTAGAGGATTTGCGACGCCGGCGGTGGAAGAAAGAAGGAACAGTGGGAGATGGGGAGGAACGGAAGAAACTGGATGAGCGGATTAGGGTTCGGCGGTGGAAGAAAGAAGGAACGGTGGGAGATGGGGAAGAACGGAAGAAACTGGATGAGCGGATTAGGGTTTGAGGATTATTTATTTAATTTTAATTTGATATTTTTTGTTAATTTACTTATTTACCCTTAATGAATTCTGTTGTTATAATAACAACATCAGGGGTGTTGTTATACTATCCTCACCCTTTTTTCCAGAAATAGCACCTTTAAAAAAAAATTACAAAACTAGCACCCTTCCAAAAATATTTACAAAATTAGCACCCTTTTTTTTGGACCGCACCCTTGTGGTGTGTTTTATATATAAACCGCACCTGTAGGGTGCGGTCCATTTTCCTGGGGATAAACCGCATCTTGGCCATGCGGTTTCACGTCTGCCCTACACAAACCGCATGGCCGAGGTGCGGTTTTGGCCTGACCTAGGCAAACCTCTCCTTAGAGATGCGGTTTATTCCTCCAAAACCAAACCGCATATCTAAGGTGCGGTTTAGCCACACAGACTGCACCCCCCAAGTGCGGTCTGTGTGTCAATTATTTTTCGACACCCGACAATCACCCATGCAGAATTATAGACGTAAGGCTGCATGGCAGACCAAAACCGCACCTTAGAGGTGCGGTTTTCCTCATTTTTTTGCCTATATAAGACTGCCCGGAAAACCTCTACTCTTCACACCTCTCCTTCTCTCTTTTCATTGTTCTGTTGTATCTCTATATTTCTTTAGTGTTTTTGCCATTAACATTAACTCGTAAGTTTATTTTGTGTTACTTTTTATTGTTATTTGTGATTTGTGATTTTTATGATATTAACTGAACTACGGTTTTTTTGTGTGCAGATGGCATTCCGCCAGTTCACGCTTGGCTTACGGTGGAATGGTTACACGGAAGAGACCGGAAAGGGGGCCACCTACGTCGGTGGCAATTTTCAGAAAATAAAGGTCGCTATCAGATCGAAGCTTGAAGACCTCCATCAAATATGCACTAACGTTACTTGCATGGATGGCACGAGAAGAGTAGATCGTATGGTTAGGGGTGTACATGGGTCGGGTGGTCCGGGTTTAGCCATTTTATCACCCAACCCATGCACTACGGTTTGGAAAATATCAAACCCAAACCCACCCAAAAAAATTTAAACCCTACGGTTTGTTTCTAATTGGGTTGGGTCAGGTTGGCGATATTTTTAAGCAAAAACCCAACCCAACATAAAATATATAATTATTCTACATCATAAAAATATTTTATAACTAATTAAAATTTCAAAAGAATAAACCGTGGTGAAAGGTACCAAAATTCACAAATGTTGTTTGAATTTTAATAAAATGTGATTTACTTCAAAATACGTCTAGTTTTTTTACGATATTTGTTGAAATAGGCTAAAAAGGTTATAAACAAACGCACCCACAATATGTTATTCTATTAAAATTGTACACAAGAAAAGCGATTACGTGAATCATAACTATATTCAATTTATGTCTATACTTTAAGTCGAATAATGCATTAGATTAGGGAGACCATGAGAGAAAAACATGGCGAAATATCTTAATTTTCTCATAAGTATGGCTATATATGACATAAATATTTTTTAGATACGAACTCATACTAATAGTTGGAACACGGGTTGGGTCGGGTTCTACGGGTTGTGTAATCCAAAATCCAAACCCAACCCAAAAGAGGCGGGTTGTACAAAACAAAACCCTCACCCAACCCAAAATCTTTGTTTTAGCGATAAATACGGGTGGGTTGGGTCGGTTTGGACGGGTGGGTCGGTTTGCGGGTATGTTTGTTCACCCCTACTTATGGTGTACCGATATCCAAACAGAGAAAGTGGGTCATTGTTGCATGAGGAATACACCATAACCACTCAAGATGAAGTAGATTCCATGCTCGAATTCTTGAGGTCCAACAAATTGGCCAAAGCCGAGATGTTCGTTTACACCGAGCCAGCCGTTGGCGTTGGAGGTCATTCTGGACACGGTCAAACATCTGGTATCCATGGTGGAGGTGAATTATATGGCGATCATCCCTACCAAAGTTGCCATGATCCTCATTCCTATTTTCAGTACCAAGGGCAAGGTGAAGGCCATCATCAATCTTTCCCGTCATATGAAGAAGAAGTTCAACCGGACCTCCCCAACCAACCCCAGTACAACTTCGAATCAGGCAGCGGTAGTTTTCACAACTACCATTATGGAGCTGATGAAGGTGCCTTTCATGAGCTGGATCAGATGGAAGCTGTCATGCCAGCACCAGTCAGCGACCCCTCCGATGAAGAAGGAGAGAACAACGTCAGTGCAGATAGCTCCGACCCTCTTGAAGGTGCTGATGATTCAGGACCAGAGTCAGATTCAGATAATGATCATGATGTGGCTCCTGACCGTGTACCAGTCCCTTACTACAATCACATTCCAGAAGACAATTGGATGGTCGACAGCGACATGGAGCCGCCAGAGGTCCCAATATGGGCCACTCACTGGGATTACGAAGGGCCAACAATTTGGCTCGAAAAAGGAGGTGCGGCACGCCATTGAGACTGAAGCAATGACTCGGCATTTTGAATGACACACAACTCATTCCAACACCAAAAGGCTCATAGTCAGATGTCGTAATCATCACGAAGGGTGCAATGTTAGGATTCGGGCCATCAACAGCAAGAGACACGACCACTGGGTCATATCCCGTGCGGTGAACACACACACATGTGTGTCATCCATAACTTCCCAAGGCCAACGACAGTTGAAATCCAGGGTGGTTGCTGCGGCTATCAAGCATCTGATTGAGGCCGAACCGGATCTGAAGGTGAAAGTCATAATCGCTGACATTGCAAGTCGTTATGGTTATTTGATTAACTATAAGAAGGCGTGGCATGGAAAGCAGAAAGCTAAATTAATTAAATTAAATTATGCGACATCAAGCAGAATTTTATCATCATAAAAAGACATTTCATATTATCATATTATCATAAAACAAACATCCTAAATTAATTAACATAATAACATTGTAAATGAATAATAATTTAAAGAGGTACATACATATTATCGTAAAACAAACATACTAAATTAATTAACATAAATAACATTGTTAATGAATAATAATTTAAATAGAAACATACATATTCAAATGTTTGAAATTAATAAAATTCTTTTTGTGCACATAAAAATAAATCATATTGGTTGTTTGATAAATAATTTAATCGTATTGGTTGTTTTAAATAATTTAATCGAATACAAAGCAACACTCGTTAGACTCTTAGAAGAGGTATACATCTTCTTAGAAAACGCATTCTTTTTGACAGAAAAAGGGGGATCCGAGGATCTCTTAATACCCGATTTTCCCAGGTAATGGGAGGATATGATAATCGCTTAAAACCCCATTTCCTTAGACGTGCATCTCTTTATAAATAGTCGAAGTAAATGGCGCTATGTATTCGATTAAATTATTGAAAACCACCAACACGATTAAAAAATCAACATAAATTTATTTTATATTACACTAAATACATTAACAAAATAAAAGAAGGACAAATGGTGAAGAATTGTATGTACCGGGTGATCGTTCCAAACATCCCTTGACTGATGGTTGGGTTGGTCGTACAAGTCGGTTGGATCCAACGGTCATTGCTCGAGATAATATCGTTGGTTGTATATATCGACGTCCTCCCCAACCTACGAGAAAATAACAACGAGGTTAGTACATAGATTAATTAAAAAGCTTATAACAACAACAAAAATTAAACCAGAATAATGAGTACATACCGCTTGAAATTCATCAACATAAACTCCTTCTCCTTGCCACCAATCGGCCATTTTTTCGCCGCAATTCGGACAGAGCTTCGGCTCGGCTCGGCGGGTTTTGAGGAAAAAACCTAAGAAATGTTTTCTGATGGCAGATCGGACTTAGCCGCAACCAACAGACCACTATTTCCTAGACTTTTGGGAGGGGGAGGGTTTAGAGAGATAAATTGTAGAGAGAGAAGGAAGAATGGGTTGTGGTGTGAAGAAATGAGAGGGGAAGGGGGGGTATTTATACCCATCAGACCGCACCCTCCAGGGGCGGTTGGGTAATTTTGCCCTAAACGAAATCGCACCCTCCCGATGCGTTTTGCGCTTCCCTAGGGTTGACCGCATCTCGGGCGTGCGATCTACTATCCTTGGCGCGGATCGCTCCGCTGGCAAACGTTCAGCCGCCCGATCGCCCCTCCATCCAACGATCTTGAAGACCGTTCCGCAGCAGCATTAAATCGCATCGCCCTAGTGCGTTTTGTGAACTGGAACGCACCCCTATGATGCGTTCCAAAAAAAGTGGTGCTATTTCTTTCAATTTTTTCATATGGGTGCTAGGTTTGTAAATTTTTTTTAAAGGTGCTATTATTGGAAAAATCTCGGAAGGAGAGGAGGAAGATGAAGGGGAAAAGCAAGAAAGACACCGTCCTATTATTGTTTTTTTTTAATTTTAAATTAAAATATGGCGTGTCTTCCACCTAATGTCGGAGGATGAGTTGTCGATGACGTGTCTGGTGAGCTGGCAGCACAGTAAGCGTATCGTTAAAATAACTAACGGTATCACTAACACTGTTAAAATTTATAACATAAATGACTATATTTCTTATATATTTTTAAAAACTCTGGCTATATCTGGTATTTTCTCAAAAATGGCTATTATTGTCACAAACGCGAGAATTTTGACTATGAAAGTGTATTTTACCTACATATTTTATACATACTTATTTCAGTCATGTTAAAGCAATAACACAACAATTTCTAATTTTCTATCAAATTCTGGTTTAACTATCGTCACTGGCCTGTCGGAGAAAACCGAATTCCCCAAATCTAGAAGGCGGAAAAGCGCCACCGCAATTCCTTCTGAACCAACGAATTGACTTTCTCTTTAAATCGAGAAGACCTCTTTCGAGTTCTCGAGTCCTCTTCTGCCATGGCGAACGTCTCCGTCGCTGCGGAGTGGCAGCTTCTAATCAACCGGTACTACCGCAAGCCGGAGATTTACCAAATGCGGTGGAAGCACATCGACTTGTCTCGCAACAAGATCGCCTGCGCTCCATTCGGAGGCCCTATCGCTGTAATCCGAGACGATTCCAAGATCGTTCAGCTCTACTCCGAGTCCGCGCTCCGGAAGCTCCGCATCTTCAACTCCGCCGGCGTCCTCCTCTCCGAGACGGTGTGGAAGCACCCCGGCGGCCGCCTGATCGGCATGTCGTGGACCGAAGACCAGACGCTGATCTGTATCGTCCAGGACGGCACGATTTACAGGTACAACATCCATGGGGAGTGTCTCGATCCCAATTACTCGATGGGGAAAGAGTGCTTTGAGCAGAACGTGATCGAGTGCGTGTTCTGGGCCAACGGGGTTGTGTGTCTGACGGAGGCTGGGAAACTCTTCTGCGTGATGGATTTCAAGGAGATCAAGTCGTTTAAGCTGGGCGATGTTGGGATTGAAGCGGAGGAAGAGTTGCCGCATTGTATGGCCGTCATTGATCCTCAGTACATAGCTTCAGGAAACGTACGGGTGCTTCTGGGAATTGGGGAGGGGATTGTGATCGTGGATGAAGACGAGGTTACGCACATTGAAGGTGAGAAAGTTCAGGGACCTGTGCAGAAAATTTCAGTGACCAGGGATGGTAATTGGTTGGCATGTTTTATGCATGACGGGAGGCTTGTGGTTATGAATATGAACTTCGAGGCTCTATTCCAGTACCAATGCGAAGTAAGTTTGCTTCATTTCTCAAAAAGTTAGTTTCTTGTTTATATTGCTTGGTTTCTTGTCGAGTTGGAGTGAACTTAGCTAGACGTTTAAGTTAGTAATCAGTATTTGAAACAGGAAACCCAGCCAGAGAATTAAACAAGAATCACCACCATGGTGCTGGTTGAGGGGGTCTCCTACTGATGTTGGAAACCCAGTAGATTACTGTTATGTTTCTTCTTATATATCAGGGCTGTTATCTTCAGGTCATCAATTTCAAGTCTATACTATGTTGAAATTGCTTTGCACTTTTTTTTATGGATAACATTGTGTCGTATTTGTTTTTGGGCAATACTATCACTATATGCAGTCAGCCCTTCCACCAGAGCAGATGGTTTGGTGTGCAATGGACAGTGTGCTTCTTTATTGGGATGATATGCTTTTGCTGGTGGGTCCATCATCTGAAGACTCTGTGCGTTATATCTATGATGAACCAGTTTTTCTTATCGCCGAATGTGATGGAGTCAGGATACTTTCTAACACCAGCATGGAGTTCCTTCAAATGGTACCTGATTCCACTGTTTCCATCTTCAAGATAGGGAGCACCTCACCAGCATCGCTGCTTTTTGATGCCTTGGATCATTTTGACAGACGTAGTGCTAAGGTCTGAAATTCTTATTTCACAGCCTAAGGAAATTATTTTTGATTTGGAATCAAAGATTTTAGGCAATTAAATGCCATGAATTTGATTACTTCCTTTGGTTACTTCTATATTCAGGGGTCGTTTGGAGGTTGAGATTTGAAGTGAGGTATTTAGCAAATACATGTAATGATAAGATTAAGTCGTTTTTTTGGTTCACTTTGAGTTAGAATGCATGCATTACCTTTTTGTTGGGCCCACCTACAATCACTCAAAATGAATGATTATAAATCTCTACTAAAAGGTGAGATTGTTAACGAGGGATTGTCTACCCTACTTTTTGTTTCATCATTGCCTTTCCAAACAAAGTATTTTCCTAATACATGCATTGAATAAATACATCAAATGATAATACACTAATTGACCTAATACATCAATTTGTAGAATCACAACTTCCAAACGACCCCTCAGTCTTTAATGTGTACATAAGTTTCTGTTACTATCCTCTAGTCTCTCGAGATAAGCATTGGTGTAGCGTAGGCTATGAGCTTTATTGTTTCCTCACCAAGTATATTTCTCCATCACTCATTGTCAGGCAGATGAAAACTTGAGATTGATAAAATCAGCCTTGCCTGAGGCTGTTGAGGCGTGTATCGATGCCGCAGGTCATGAGTTTGATGCTTCCCGTCAACAGACACTGCTTAGAGCTGCAAGCTATGGCCAAGCTTTCTCCAGGTGGAACTTTTGTTTCCGATGCTGCAATATATATATCTATGATTGAATGCTATCCCGACGGTTAGATGATGCAATCCGCAACCTAATGATTGAATTTGCGAGTTGGAGTGAAATACATTGTCACGATCAAGTACCATTTCAATAATGATCCTTTAGAAGGAGTATTCTCCATGGGATGCCATATAGATAGGATATGCCTCTTTCGAAATGTGACTTTTCTATTGTATTCCTTTTCTAATTTTTTATCTCGGAATTGATATCCAATTGTCTTTGACAGCAATTTCGAACGAGAGCGAATTCAGGAGATGTCTAAAACTTTGAGGGTGTTAAATGCTGTTCGCAACCCTGAGATTGGCATTCCTCTGAGTATTCAGCAGTACAAGGTACTGATATGCTACTCGTATGATGTTGCCATTATCAACTTGTGAATATATTTCCCTGATATATACTGAGGTGGCTCATGTTCCCAGACACTAACAGCACCTGTGCTGATTGCTCGTTTGATTAATGCGCACCAGCATCTTCTTTCTCTGCGGATTTCTGAGTATCTTGGAATGAATCAGGTAAGTAATCAACCATATTGACTGCACTGGTGGCACTTACTAGATTAATCTTTAGGATTACAATTATGCTGCACTTCCTTTATTTAAACCTCAATATATCATATCTTAAGCTTGAATGAAGTTACTGATTCTGCTTTGAAGTTACGGCTCTTGTATGATACTTTGGGGATCTCAGAATCCCGGCTGGTTTTGAATGAAGGTTAGGATGCTTTGCATCCATTTATGAAAAAAAAAAACCCTCAATATATCATATCTTAAGCTTGAATGAAGTCCATCGCATATTGCTATAATAATGATTAGAGTTTGGCAGTGTTAGGTATCAAGATTTCAGAGTGAAAAAGTTCTGCATGTACTTCTGTTAGAACTCATCATATGATCTCTTTAGTTGCTACTCTTAACAAAAAAACTGATAGTTGTTATCTAAGTGATCTGCGAGATTATGATAGCTTAAGATGTTAACTGACCTTATCTTTTGCATTATCCCCCTCATTCTCATCGATTTGTAGTAAATTATATGATTTTCTCATTCAGAAAACTTTTGGCCTATTGGCTTATACACAATCAGTAGCATTTTTTGCTGATGCAACTTAGATGACATCTAAGTCCAATGAATTTAAATATGTATTATATGTTACAAACAACGGACCAATTTTTGAGATAGTGAATGGTGAGGTAAACATGGTACATCCTCTGAAGTAATAGAAACACTTGAATGGTGATCTATGTTAGCACAATGTGACTATATAATAGACACTATCAGTCTCATTTGCTGATGGTCGTGCATTTTCGACATTTTATTTCCAAAATTGACTCAACCTGTCAACTTTTTGTATTAGATACTTTGCTTTCACCTGCTGGGAATAGCATGCTGCTTTATCTGAATAGTTACTGATTCCTTCCCAATGTTTCAGCAATTGGCAACTATGTTTGTTTGTGTATTTCGAGTTGTCTGCTTTTGTGATTTTGCTGTGGCAAGAGTCTTCCATATCGGCATATAATTTTTTTCCTATTGGTTTTTTGTAGGAAGTAGTTATAATGCATTGGGCTTGTGCAAAGATAACAGCTTCTTCAGCATTTCAGGATGCAGCCCTTCTTGAAATTTTACTTGACAAGGTCTGTGCTTCCTAGATAGTTTTTTCTGCTGACTTTAAATGTCTTTATATTTTGCTTAATGTGCAACTCAGTAAGTATTAACGTCTCAAAATTTTACTTGGACGCACAGCTGAGATTGTGCAAGGGCATATCTTATGCAGCTGTTGCGGCTCATGCAGATAAAAGCGGACGCCGTAAATTGGCAGCTATGCTTGTTGAACATGAACCACGCTCCTCTAAACAGGTTATCTTGTCTCTATTCTGCTCTTTTTGTGTGTGCGTGTGTGTATGGCTCTTTGCTAATTACATTTTTTGTTTTAGTTCACAAGGTCTGATGATCTCTCGATTCCCTTTGTTCCAGGTTCCTCTCTTGCTAAGTATTGGAGAGGAAGATACAGCTCTTATGAAGGCAATTGAAAGTGGTGACACTGATCTGGTTTATCTTGTTCTGTTCCATATCTGGCAGAAGGTACCGTTTTTTCTTGAAACACAATTTTAGTTTCTTAATTTTCTTTTGATTTCACTGTTGATTTTCCTTGTCTCTCTATCCCTCCCAATCATGTCTTCTTGTTATTCATTTAGATTTTCCACATTAATTTATGTGCTGGGGCGGCGAATACCTGTGAAGTAATTTTAAGTTTCCGTTGATGCAGAGACCAGCCTTGGAGTTTTTTGGGACAATACAAGCCAGGCCACTAGCACGGGATATGTTTATAACTTATGCACGGTAAATGTCATTTCCTGTCTTTTATATTTGTCTTCTAAGATGTGTATCATGCTTGTATTATTTATCTTGATGTGTCACTGGTTCGATGCTTCTGTTTCAGGTGTTACAAACATGAATTCTTGAAGGACTTTTTCCTATCAACTGGGCAACTTCAGGTATGTTTCATTATTCTCCATTGAGCTGTGTCATTTCAGAATTCCTTTATAAACAAGTGTCTGAATGATTCTTTTTGCAAAGTGTTGTTTTCGTGCCCTGGAGCCTGGACAGAGTGGGGTAACGGTATAATGGGAAAATGGTGTAAAACACTCTTGAGTTTTCATCAAGTTTGGTGCCTGCTAAAACTTCAGAAGTCTTTCTTTTATTGCATGTGTGTGCAATTGTACAAAGTATTACCCAAGTTTCAGGAAGATTGTACTTAGAGGAGGTAGCAGTAATATTGCAGTTCTTTTCTTCTCTTTTTTAATATATCATTTTTCCTTTTTGGATCTTCAAGGAGGTAGCATTTCTCTTATGGAAGGAATCATGGGAGAGAGGGAGAAACCCGATGGCAAGTAAAGGTTCGCCGCTTCACGGTCCACGCATAAAGCTTATTGAAAAATCTCATAATCTTTTTGCCGAGACAAAGGAGAACACATTTGAATCAAAAGCTGCTGAAGAACATGCAAAATTATTGAGGTAGGAGATTCCTGTTTCCAGCATATTATTAGCTTGTAACTTCCGCCATCCGAAAATGGACTTCTTGATGTTGTGAAGACTGAATAATTGACCATCACTGGCTGCCACTTGTCATGACCTGAAATTTAGCTTGCTGTTTCCATATCCCCTACTTTTTACTTCGCCCCCGTGTGTCTGTACACTTAGTTGTGGTATCAACTTACCACTGTCAATTTTGCAGAATTCAACACGAACTAGAAGTGGCCACGAAACAAGCCATTTTTGTAGATTCAAGCATCAGTGATACAATTCGAACATGTATCGTGCTGGGGAATGACAAATTTGCAAGTAAAGTGAAGACGGAGTTCAAGGTAAGTTTTTTTCTGTTGTCTTGGGTGTCATTATGTTTCTAATTGAAGCAGACAGCATATTCATGCCTGAGCCCTGGAAGCTTGTGTATACATGTTTACCTGGTCGTGCCCTGTATGGTTGGTTTTCCTCTTATGCTGCCAATAGGTCTCTGAGAAGAGGTGGTACTGGCTCAAAGTATTCGCTTTAGCAACCGTCAGAAACTGGGATGCCCTGGAGAAATTTTCAAGGGAAAAGAGACCGCCAGTTGGTTATCGGCCTTTCGTGGAGGCATGCATCGAAGCTGACGAGAAAGGCGAAGCTCTCAAGTACATACCGAAACTTGCAGACCCCGGAGAAAGAGCTGAGGTGACTTGACTGTCTCCCTTTTCTATCCCCAGATTATTGTATATGAACAGAAGAAAAAAATGAATAGTACAGAGCTGCAGCAATTCGTTCTGCTGTTCTGTGAATAATCCTTTGACGACTACTGCAGGCATATGCTCGGGTAGGAATGGCCAAAGAAGCCGCCGATGCTGCTTCTCAAGCAAAAGACGGGGAATTGCTGGGTCGATTACGAATGAGCTTTGCACAAAACACAGCTGCCTCATCTCTTTTCGATACCCTTCGAGATCGCTTGTCCTTCCAAGGCGTCCCGTAACTTCCATTCAGATCCGTTTTCACCTCTCCTTTTTTGTTCTTTTACCGTTTGTCATTGCAAGTCTGTTGGGTTGTTTTTGGTGAAAGGCAGTGTGCATATTGTATGTGAGTTCTAGTGTAAATCAATCTTAAAAATCCATAACAGAACTCCCCAGTTTTCCCCTCCAGATTGGGGTCATTTATACGTAAACTGCTGCTACAATCGTCTCGATAACTCTAAATTGTTCCTCGTTGCAACACCACATGCGAAACTGATCGAGCAGGCCCTGTTGAAATCGCCATCCCCATTTTCGGCAGAAATGCAAAAATAAGACATATTTTTCTTGCACGACACTTGTCTCCTATCCAGCGGGGTTCCCCATCCCAATCTCCAAAAGTTCCAAAGACAAAGGAAAACAGAGGAAAGAGAAAGGTCAGTGTTTCTGTTGGACACCTGGTGGGTAGTTATTGATTCTAGTTGTTCTATCTAGAATCATTATGAATTAACTAGCAGGTGTCACTCCATAAGAGGCCTGCTTTTCCCTTTAATCTCTCTCTGCCACCACTACCACGACCAAATCTCTTTCAGAGCTGCAGTTATGATGTCCTGTTCCTGTAACTTAGAAGAAACGCCTCCATTTTGGTTCTGCCATCTGGCCCAACTTACCAACAGCAACAAGGTAAACTGATCTAACGCCAATACCTTCCTTCTGGAAGTAAAACTTTTACCTCAGGGTCATAGATTCGAAGCATCGTATCGTTAGACGTCTTCAAACGATCGCTATAAGTACACCAAACTTTATAATACGATCGCTTAAGTTACTGTTTTGGTAACAAAACGATTGTTACTACAGTCAAATATTCAACAGGTTGTGCTTAGTCATCAAGCCAGCATATCAATGTATTACCTAACACATGTTATGTCTGGACATCCATGGACCACGCAACCATTTTCAACCCATTCAATCAAAGGTCCAGACCATGGAATCAGCACACCTAAGACACTGCAATGAAGAGAAAGGGAAAGGGAAAGGTCCATTAAAATAAAAGGAAATGATAAAGAGTTACTCATTTCTTTCCATTTCTAGGGTGGTGTTTTAGTTTATGAAAGCAGTAGGATCATAGAGCCACTCAAACTCATCACAATGAAAGAGACATATAGCCCCCCATAAAATAACCTGTCTTCTGCTCAACTCAACTCAACTTATCACTTATCAGCCTTCCTGTTTCCATTTTAGCTCCATGCTCTGCCTGGGTTGCCATTTCCAGATCTTGCTACAGACAAAACACTTCTCAACCATAACACTACAAAGTTTCAGAAGAGCTCCTACAAAAAGAAAAAGGTTCAGAAAAGGGGGGGAAAAAGAGTCCTTTTGATTTTCTTGCTTCATCTAAGCTTCCTGCAGTTCAGTTATATACTGATTTGGTCTTGTTGTTCTTCTTTCTTTCTTTCTTTCCTGGTTTTCCTGTTCTTAAGTAGACTTACTTCAGCACCATCTAGGACTCTCTCCTTTCTGGTTCTGTTGTGCAGTAATTTCACTGTGATTTCAGCACTTAATATTTGCTTTGCTTCTAATGGATGAATAATCACTGGATAATATGTGGATCATGAATAGTCAGATTGAAAATATCACGCAAAAAGATTTCCAACCTCTCCCAACAAGTCGTACAGTTAGGATAAATTATCTTTGATATGGTATTAGAGTTTTTTTTTTATAAGCGACAAGTCATATTCAACTTCTGCTAAATACTCGACATTAACGATTGTTTAAGCACGTAAACTCAGTCGATGAACTTTTATTTTAAGGGGGTTCATGCGCTAGTACTATTAGATGCAATTCCGTGTCTTTCTTAACAACTTGATTTATTGAGACAGAGTCTTAGTTTTATTTTCTGCTTCAGGTTTAACATCCAACACTATGAAAATTACCACTTGATCAAAGCTTTTTGTTATCTTTTCTTGGTTCTGTTCCTCTACAATGCCATCTGAGCTTAGCTTCTTCTTCATTTACTCAGCCAAGGCAGAAAAGTGAAATCCAAGCACGATGTACAGAAATTTTGAGCATGCATCTAACCAGCAGCAGCGACAGCATAACCAACAATATGGAACCTCTAGTTCTAGATCTCAGTGGTCTGGCATTACTGGTAATAGTGGTGGCTTCATGTCGGACAAGTTAGGGGAAAGCTCCATTGATTTATCTGCTCAGGGATGCAGCTATTTTGGTTCAGATCCCATGGTCCCATACTCAAAACCTCAGCATTATGGGCATAGTGAGAGAACTGGGATAATCTTAGAGATGCAACAAACATCAATTTCAGACTCAGGTACTTTGTTTTGAATTTTTAGCAGTTTACTTTTTATCCATCTGGTTAACTGTAATTCCCACGTTTACTTCATTTACTCCAACAACTCGAATTATTGGAACCAGTTGGATCTTAACATGCCATCCTAAATTTTGATGATCAAAACAAGTGTTCTTGTGTGAATGTTGGAAGCCCTGAACTCTTCATTTGACCTATGGACATTATTTGCCATCTCATGCTGCAACCGAGATGACAATGCAGTCAAATCTTTGGAAGCCATATAAGTTGATTTCCCATTGGCTACACAAATATCAAATTGCATTGCGTGATAAGCATAACCTGGTATGCTTTGTTATGGTGGTGTTGGTGTAACTGTCTCTGTATGCAAATGTAACAATAAGAGCACATTGAAGCCACCATGCAACACCCTTATTCGGGTTGGTAACTTTTGTTGCAAGAAATCACATTTCTTATTTGGTTTTGGCTCACAGGTGATCATAAGCAGCAGACTAATGAAGCTGCAAGAGGCCAATTAGGTTGTCCTTCCTTCTATTGTTTCTTCCCAAAAACTTAATGGTTTGTTATGGTTCCATATATTGACTACAGGTAAGTTGACTGTAACCCAATTGCTTGGCTGTAACCTGTTATCACAACCTGTCTCCATGTTATACTTTGCATGGTGGTCAGGCACGAAAAAGTATTCTGCATTAGCAATGGTTGGAGAGAGATGCTGACCACTGGTTCATTTGCTTTTTGAAGTGCAACCTTGTCTTTCCCTTGCAGGGAGATGGGGGGCTTGGCCAGAGGAAGCTTACATTACAGTTACAGGCTGTGGATTCTTAAGATACTAACAAACGTTAATCCTTTGGATTCTTCATTCAATCAGCAGATGGAGATTCAGGACAAGCTTCTCAACACCCATCCATCAATGCTGCATCCATGACCATGCCTTCAACCTTGATCGAATTCGGTGGGCTAACACTTAGCCACCAACCAGACTCCTCCATCGGCCATGCATTTGCAGCTGGTCATCATCCTTCTGGAATGGGGTTAGCAGTTGAAGTGGTGGAGGAACCACCTGTGTATGTAAACCCAAAGCAGTATCATGGCATCTTAAGGAGAAGGCAGTCTCGTGCCAGAAAAGCCGAGCTGGACAGGAAACTCAGCAAAGCTAGGAAGGTGGGTTTGATCTCTTTTTTTTTTTCATTTATCTTGTGCAACATCATACATTGGATGCCTATTTTGCTGACTTCCAAACATGGTGGTGGTGATGAGGGCAGCCATATCTGCACGAATCGAGGCATTTACACGCGATGAGAAGGGAGAGAGGATGTGGTGGCCGTTTCCTCAGCAGCAACACTAGTAACAAAAACCAGCACCATCAACAGCAGCAGCAGCAGCAGCAGAATGAGGGTGGCTCTTCTGGTGCTGCTCATGACAAGAGTAGCAGCAGCAAGAGCTACCGATTTCGAAATTGAAATATTTCTCAATCGAGTTTCGCGTATCAACCATCTCGATCGAACATAATGGAGTTGTTTTTGTTCTTGCTTTGGGTTAAGGAGAATGCGTCCCATTTGTACTGGTGGTGATGTAGTCGTTGTATCTTAAAAGTGTCATCGTCTGGTGTTTAGACTATTGTTACTTACAGCAGTCAGCAGTTGATGAGTTTTTCATCAGTGTTTAGACTATAAAACCGAAAGCCTTTCTGTTTTTGGAAGTTTATATATCCAGGCAGGTTGCAGTGCTTGTACATCATTTTCTTAGGCTCACTTGAGAGCCATTGTTAATGGGGAACTGGTGTAGAATCTTACGATGGACCTTATTGTATCTTATTGGACCCTTTAAGTAATACTTGTTGAAATTTACAGACAATAATTGTCATTTATATATACTAACAAGAAAGTGGGTGTAAAGTAGCCACTTAATATTTTATAGCATCACATTCATTCACATCACACGAGAAGGAGTTTGGTTTTGTGATAGTATCACTAGCCTTAAACTTGAAGATTCTAAATTCAAATTTCTTAATTTTCACCCAAATTACAAAAAATAAATCTATATCATATTTGTAAAATAAAATATTCTATAACAACGAAGGAGCTGGAGCATCAAATTCGAATAATATGACAATTGAGGGTAGTATGATGATTACTGATTTGGTGGACATTCAATGCACAAAATTTTCTTTGATGAATTTTTTTTTATTGAGCCACACTCGGCGTAAATATGTTGAAGACAAACTTCACACTACGTAGCTCTCGTATGGCTGCCACGTACTCGCATAAATGCGACGAATTCGGTAAGTTCTTAACACTAAAATAAAACATCAACAACTTTCTTTTCTTCCTGTAGACAAATCATTCTTGATCCTCGTCAATCCATCCCGAGTAATTGCATCATCTTCCAGCCTGACAACAAATGCAATGAGAAAGAACGAATCATCTACGCTAAGACTTGTCTAACCTCGAGGTGGGACCTTCCCCTGTATACACTTTTGTTCGAGTTTTGATTCACCAAGTTGCTAATACATAGATTGGTTGGTCAAGTTGTGGTAGGGCATCGGATTTAGCAGGAAGCACTGAAGCAGATGGGTCCATTTCATTTCATGGGATAATTTTGAGGTCCCAATTCCAAAAACCCACCAATTGCATAAAAGCAGGGGAAGGATCTGCCGACTCTTTTACGCAATCCGCTAAAAGTCGACATGAAAGATGCGATGCTCTCCCCCACCACCACCAATCCAATCTAGACATCTCAACACTACACGCCATTGAAAAAAAGAAAAGAACAGTGTGCTTTTCAATCCCCACGTCTGCATCAACCCCCACAAAGATAACGAATTCAAGCTTTTCCAGTTGAAGAATAACAGGGTAAGAGTATGACCACCAAGCTTATATGCCTTCACAGTTGTTCGATTCGCGCGATTCGATGATTGTTGACCAGAATGAGTGATCATGGTGTGTTTGCCTTAACGCATAGCACAGCCATTCGATCATTGAGCTTGAGCTGAAGCTGATCGACCGGATTGAAAAAAGTTAACCAGAAGCAAGCAACTAAGTTGGAACAGGGCTGAATATGGTTTCTCTGATTCTCTCAGTGGATGGTGGGGAGTGTGATAAGAATGAAATGGGAAGGAAACCAGCAAGCTATAAAGAACCAAGATATGCAAATTATTATGTGAAGAAAATTCCAGGTGGTCTATCAAAGAGTTTTCTGTCAATGCTGCTATTTCCCACTTAGTAAATAAATAAGAAATGACGACACAAATCGGAAATTGCATTTTGAATAGACGAAGAAACAAACAGCATGTCAGTATTCAAGTTAGTTTCAGGCGGGGGATCTTCTCTTGTCAGCAACCCGAGGTCAGGCTGTCGGAGAAGGAGTCGATAGCGTGGTGCAACTCGAGCCCTCTCGTCCGCCCTGGAGCTCCCCCCTTGAGAGAAGAAACATCCAACACAATCCTGCCCCCCACAGAAATAACACTATGAGTTGGTCACCTGAATAGAGGTTCTATTCTACCCTACAGGTATACCAGATAAAAAAAGGACTTACAAGTTCTTTGAGGCTTTCTCTACTTCTGCAGTTCCACAGTTGATGATGATTTTGTTATCCATTACCGACACTGAATGCTCTTCCGGGAGATCGATTCCTAGAGGTGCTTCTGTATTGAGCATTGAACTAGTTAATTTATGTTTATCGTGTTACAGAAAGAATCTTGCGGTTAACAGATTATGGTGGTAATCTATCTTACCAATTTTCTGGGTAGCAACCACAGGTCCATCCAAGCCAATAATTTTCTAGAAGAAAATCAGAAACATAATCAGCATATGAAGGATTGCGTAAGCAATATTAGATGGTAAAGATGGTTACTTTAAGGCTTTTGTAACACTCTTCGAGGTTGTCATTAGAGAGGATGTGATCAAAGATGCCGGAGGATTGCCCTTGCTCGATCTCAGTCTTTGCATTGCGGAGTCTTTTCAGGATCTGCTCCTCAGACTCGGTCCCTCTGTCAAGATTACTTGTAACCAATTAGATCTATTGCAACCAAAAAAACAATTATAGAAAGAAAGGTCTCAACTGGTAAATAATATACTAACCTTGCACGAAGACGATGTTCAAGCTCATCCATGGATGGGGGACATATGAATACAAAAACTGCATCCAGAGGGCTTGCCCTAACAGATCTTGCTCCTTGAACATCAATATCAAGGATGCATCGCTGCAACCAAAAGTAAAATGCTCAAATAAATGAAATGAAACAATAAAAAGGTCAAATCTCTAGAACATCCAACATACTGGATTCAAACCTTGAAGTCAATGCTTACATGAAATAAACAAATTGAATTGAATGGGGAAAAAAAGAGTACAAAGGCACAGAAGATACTAATTCCAAGTGTGTCAATCACATGAGGATGCCAATATTTTCAGCAACTAATGAAACATAATATTAAGAATTAAACATTACCATGATTTGATTGGGTCTCACTTAATAACTAAAAATAAAAATAAAAAGTCAACGATCAGCTAAACTTTTGCAGGCTGCTGAAGTATATGGCATGTGCATAGTTCAAAATCATCCAGCATCCTTGAAAACTACTTCAGTTCAAAGAACATTAAGTAAACAGTGAAAGGATTCAAAAATTGTTTACCTTTCCAGAATCTGACACCACTTCTACGGCTTCAATGCTGGTTCCGTAAAGGTTACCATGGACAGAGGCAAACTCGAGGAACTTTCCATTTTTGATGTCCTTCTCCATAACAGCTCTTTCAGTGAAATGGTAGTGCACACCATCCAGCTCCATGGCCCTTGGTGCTCGGGTTGTGTGACTCACGGAGAATCCGAACATGGATGGGAATTCCTCCATGAGTTTCGATATTAATGTTCCTTTTCCTACTCCAGAAGGACCACTGATGACAATTGGTACCTCTGCATTGCCTCTTACACCTTTACTCCAGGCTACAACCTCATTGCCCAGAATTTGTTTCTGCGCCTTGACATATGGAGTGCCCACCTGCCGAATTCACAAGTCATCTCAATTATACCCAAAAAAAAGAGTAGAGTTCGACAAGTGACTCTAACAAACACAAATCCCGGCTTCTATAGTTGGCGCTTTGTTGCACCACATGAAGAAAGGGATAAAGCTGAAATAGCACCTGAAGCAAATGAGAAGTCCTAGCAGCCTAATTTGGAAATGGCAAGAGCCAATGAAGCTAATGTCCTAAAGTGTTTCTTTTTCCTGTTGAGTTCCTTTTCCTCTATGTGAAAGGACACAAAACTTCATAAGAAAATTAGAGAAACCTAGTACATGGTTGGACAGTCCCACTCCTGTGAACCTACATCTCAAGTTCCAAGTGTTTTAAGAGCTAACCTCAAGAAACCAGATGCAGTCATCTGAAGAAGATCCCTTCTTAACCATCACGATTCGATCTTCATTCAGTGCCACAGCTGAATAGCCTTTACCTGGCTTTGGTTTTGTTCCGTGAATGGTAGGAATGATCCTGTAACAGAGGATTTCTACAAGATAAGCCATCCTTACCCTTCAGGCCTTTACTTTAACCCTGAATCAAGCAAAGGCGAAGATAACCTCGTGAACTCACCAATTCCCAGTAGTTTGATCACAGATCCGAACCACGAAGGCGTCATCGCTACTACCAATGACATACTGCCAAAAATTTCAAGTTGGCAAGAGATGATTGCCAGATCAAAATCTCAAAGGGCAAGATATAACTTGTGACTTTGTTAGAGGACAATAAAATCAGTATATCATATCATACTGTTTTATCCTGGATGCTAATGGACGTTTCGCAGGCTTTGATTGTTTTTATGTCAAAACCATTCTGCAGGTTGTCAGCGTAGAAAGCTGGAGCCTCCCCCTATTACACAGAACACTTGATCAGAAAAAGGCACATATTTAACTCAAATGCAATGAGCATTACATCAAATTACTCTATGGATGGCACATATTCCCTTCCTTGCTAATAACAATTTCCAACAGAAACAAAGTGAAATGAGAGCTCACCATGGAGAAACAGTGCCTTCAACACAAGATTCAACCTGAAGAGGGGGAAAAAACGGGGAAACATGAGAAGGAAAGGAACAATATAAGAGATTCAAAATCCTGCATACAGCTTCATGAAGGGACAACAACAATATCAACAGACAACTAATAACATGAACCAGCAGATAAACCTCTGCAGAGAGATGTTCTCAACATCTAGGAGAGAAAACGGCAATGGAAGGAAGTTGGACAAACAGAGAAACCAAAGTACGAAACTTTCAACCAAAAGATCCAGAACCCAGATACCAGTTAAGTATTCTGATGCATTAAAAGAAAAGAAAAATTCTACCGGCTTATCAGAAAGTTCACAGGACCCAACATTGGAAGGGGGAGAACGTTAAAGCGGAAACCTTAGAGGCCAGAAAACATTACAGAAAGCCCAAGTCGGCGGATCAAGAGATCGATTGGTAGAATAAGAATAAGGGAAGCAGCAAGCCAGCAACAGGCAGGGAAGGGAAGGAAGTTTACCTGTGAGAAAAGGAGCCGGGAAAACCTCAACCCAGAACCACGAAACAGAAATCTGAACCGAAATCAGATGAAGAAGAAGAAGGAAAACAGGTTTGGGTGATTCTGCGATGGGGATTCAGGGGGCGGAATGTGATATCTTTCTGGGGAAAAGGGGGGCGATTTGATCAAATATCAGATTTTGGAGGAGAGAAAGAAGGAAGCTTGGTTGCAGACAGCGATACAACAGAGAGGAAGGCGGAAGCTACAGCCAGCAGCCGCTCTCTCTTCTCTCTCTCTCGAATATTTGTTTGTAGGACAAAAAATAACAGGCAGGGAGGGCCGAGGGGAAGAAGTCAGTTGGAGTTTGGGGGAAGAGGGCGGTGGTGAGTGGCGCTTGTTTTATGGGTCGGCATTCAATTCACCAAAGACGGAACTACAAGGAAAGCAGAAGCAGAAGAAAGCCCCACATTCACTCCTCTCCTCTCTCTCACAGCTCTAACTTTCGTGCCCTACGAAGCTTCCTTCATCTTCTTCCCTCCGCTCGTATTTCTTTTTCCCCTTTTGTTTTGTCTTATTTTCTCTCTTCCACCTTTCCCCTTCTCGTACTTTATGGTCAAGTCAATTTTAGAATTGGGCTAACAAATTGTGACCGATTCAGTGAATTTGATTTTTCTTGTATGGATATGGATCTACATCACTTTATGATATAATTAGTATTATTATCATGTTAATTTGTGATATTTAGGTTAATGAAGTCCACCTATAATGTTGTGTACTTGTTTTGTATTATATAGGTGGATCGAACCATATTACGAATAAGTTCGATATTCACAAACATCGATAAAAACGTACAAAATCTTAAACCTTAATTCATTTTTCGTTAGAAAGAGATAAAGGGTTGGTGGCTTGCTAGTCATTGTCATTTTTACAAAGTGGTTGATCCCTCCCCGATTGGCCGGATGACATAATTACACCATTATAAAGAAAAATAGTGGTCAAACTCTCTTGAAAAATGATGTACCATTACGAAGAAAATTGGTGGTCGACCTGCTGACCATTACCTTGTCAGTTTTAGAACAAGATTGCACCACTAGAAATGTTTCGTAGTAAATAAGAACTTTGATATCACTTAACTCGAGTTAATACAACACAAACTTCATAAATAACAGTTTGTTTTATTAGTTTGTCACTCTAAAAATCATGTAAACATATTTTTTAAAAAATTTGAGCTTGGTGAACATCAAAGGTAGTTGTTGATGCAATACGTGTAGATCAACAAGTCGACACGTCGGATGTTCGGTCGACCTTTCATGTGCAATCATGAGGTTCATTGTCTTTAGAACACTCTCCATAACGTTGGCTTAATGTATGAAGATATCTTTAGTCCTGACCAGTCGAAATCTCCATGTGCGGCAGGCCGACTTATTATGAACATCGATCTTTTCATGTCAACTGCAACATAGAAGTGTCGACTATTCCTTCATTTTTAATGATTGAGTCCTGTTGTAAGTGTACCATCCGATTGAGCGTTTTGTGAATGTGGTCGGATGTTTTTTTTCCACACAATGACTTCGAATTCATTGTAGGCATTACCCTTATAATTATTGTCTGACACTCCTCAATATCACCATACATCATCTACATGTATTATCATGAGGGACAGATCTAGGTTGCCCAAACGACTTATCAATTGACAAACCTTGATCTATTTAGGACAAAATTTATTTTTAAAATTTATTTTAATAATAGTAGTATTCGAACTAAATACTATTTGACAACCCTGGATGATTGTGTTTTATGATTGAATATCCTTGACGTAAATTATGTATCTGCCACCGATTATCATCATTCTCGTATTATCATTACACAATGTTAAGTTAGTTTCATAATATGATTAGTTATCACTCAAATCATAATAAAAAAAATTCCAAACATAAGCTTTACGAGCCTAGTTATTTAAGGCCCTGTTTACTTTCATTTCTGTTTCCTGTTTTTGAGAAAACAGATGTTGAAAACAGGTGAAAACAACATTTCGTCGTTTCCGAAAACAGCAGGAAGTTGCCACTTTCTGTTTTCATAGTTGGAAACGAATAGAAAACAGAATGAAAAGTAAACAAGTTTTCTCGTTTCGGTTGCCAAATTTATGACATGAAAACAGAAAACAGGAAACGAAAATGGAAGTGAACAGGGCCAAACTATGAGTTGTTTTTCTCGTTTCTCGTTTAGCTTTTTTATCTCAGATAAGTCCCAGTGCCTAGTTGTTTTTTAGCTTTACCCAACTATGAGTTGTGTTGTCAATCATGAAAGCTAACAACATTAACAACGAGCATGAAAGCTAACGACATTACGACAATGGGGGCTCGTCGGGGAAGATAGAAGTCGTTAAATCTATTCAGCTAATCGAGAAAAAGGGCGTTGGGCAAAATCGCCCATTCATTATATTTAGGGCGATTTATTTAAAAACTTAGAGCGTTAAATAGGAATTCAGTTAATAAATTAAATCATAAAATCAATCATAAACATTAACAACGAGCATCAGCCGACATGCTTAACATTTATAATGAGTTCACTGATAAACGAATCCCAATAGTTAACATGTGCAACAAGATATCAAGACTGCAATCTAGAAAACAAGAAAAGACAAACAAGGAAGCCATTGTCGAGGTAAGCATATGTTGGATTAGAGAATTCCCTGTGTTCCCTCGTTCTTGTTGGTTTCAATCTCCCCTGAATTTGCTTTCCACATGCACGATAGAGTTCAAGGACAAATGGACAATGGGCTCTCTTGGTTAAGAAATGGTTTTCCCTTTGGAACGAGTCAAAATCATGAAACCAAAACGGTCAAAAAAACATCAATATGAATATGATAAATGATTTTGATTACGCAGGGCAGAAAGGATAGCTATCCGCAAACTACTTGGCGCCAAAGCACTTAACGTCAAAATCAGAGTCAACGTATATCTAGAAACCCTTGCTCGACGACGGTAAATCCGCGTTCTGCAACTATGGTCTATGTGTTTGGTTAATATTATCGTCATCAACTAACTTATAACAATAATTCGAGTGGATGGGAAATGTTCATATATGATATTTACGTAATGTTTAACATGTTTATTCACACGAAAAAATAATACACGGGTAGTGGCGGAGCCAACTTACTTTTATTCTGTCATGATCACCTAATATTTGGAAAACAAATTGTTAACTCCACATACATGTATATATAAGATTCAAATACTATAAGTTTATGTAATACGAGAAATTTTATAGGATTTTTTACAATTATTTTCAAATATAAAACACGTCCCGGTTGTTTATAAAAAAAATACTTACATAATAAGCTATTTTTCTTTTGTGAAAAGAAAACTTACATGATGTTTTGATACTAGAAACTAGATTCTACGTGATTGGATGAAACCAACATATTTAATAATTTATGTTGACATGTATTTGTAAGATTACATGTGGCACAACACAGGACACCTAATAATCATATCAAAATGGGAAAAAAAGGAACAACAATGAGATCTCAATTCTCAAACGACATGTATTTAAACATTAGAGTATGCCACTTACTTATTTGTTGATCGACCCCTTAACTAACGAGAGCGGATCCATGACTGGGGTACTTAGTCACTTAAGTAAGCTCCTCCTAGCTATTAGATCTGGATATTTCAATTCTACGGTTAAAAAGTGGAAAGAGATTTTTAATGAGTGAGATGAGTAATTTGGTTATTATGAAAAATTACAAAGTATACAAACCGGACTTACAAACCATACAAACAATACAAACAGATTTACAAACATATGAACTGTACAAACAATACAAACTACACCGACAAACAATACAAACCATACAAAAAGAAAAAACAACCGGGTTGACTTTGGAGGCTCCATCCCTAAATAGAGGGGCTCCCTCCCAAAGTCAACCCGACGGTTTTTTAGACATACAAGCATTACAAACATGGTGGACAAAAATGACAAACTAGATCGACAAAACATACAAACTGGAAAAACACCTATGTTGACTTTGGAGACTTCATCCCTATATAGAGGAGTTACATCCAAAAGTCAACCAGGTCATTTTTTAGACATAAAAAAAATTACAAACATGGTGCACAAAATAACAAAGCTTACAAACATTACAAAAGTAACTGACAAACATTACAAAATAACAAAGTTTACAAACATTACAAAAGGAACCGACAAACAGGACAAAACATATTAACCGTACAAAATGTCACTAAAAATGACAAACAAGAATGATAAACAATACAAACCAAATCGATACAAACATTACAAACCAAACTTACAAATATTACAAAATAGGTCAACAAAAATCACAAATCCAACATTATCGTCGAAAAATTCCCTGGACGTCGGATTGTTGGCCGGCGGGAAGAGATGGGACACGGAACGGGGACGAAAATTCCCGGCCGGGAAGAGACACGCTAGATATTGAAGATTTGTTAATTAATTAATCATTGAAAATTAAAAAAGTCTACAATTACTACATTGTCCTTCGTTAACATGAATTAAATGCAACCATTGGATTTAATGAGATGCAAGGGCTGAGATTCATTTAGCCATGTGACTAAGGGGCCCCCTTAGTCACCTGATCTTAGCCCCTTAATTAACACCAAATACAAGAATACAAGTCATACAGTCGATTAACTATTAATTAGAGCAATGCTATTACTCTATTATCACGTATATTTATACTCACGATATTCATATAGCGTTTGACTTATAATCTTTCACAAGTTACGAACACACGAGTGTGGTGTTGGGTATGACCATATCTGAGCAGTTTTAGGTATGACCATACCCCCAAGTGGTGTTGGATATGTATTTTTATGGCTAGGGTCTAAGAGAGTTATTAGTACGAGAATAGTCAAACATCTATAGTGAAAACTTAGGACTTTGCTATGGTGACTTGCATGTCACTGTAACTTGCACTTTTCGGTCAACTTCAGTTAGGATTAGGTCGACCTCAGTTAGGATTAGATCGACCTCATTTTAGGTCGACATCAGTTAGGATTAGGTCGATCTAATATGTTGTTTCAGTGTAAAAACAATTTCATGGTGCCTACTTTGGAGAATATTGGATATCTTACAATTGTAAGATATGAATCTCCAAAGTAGGCACCACGAAGCCTTTGTAGAGGGACACTCTGTTGAAAGTAGAAATGTGAGAAACTCTCCCGAAAACACACACACACCTTATCTTGCTATCAACCTTTAGGTAAGATGGAAATATTCTGTTGATTCGAAGAAAGGATTACAAAAGCAGACAAGCACACTACGTTACTTGGTTGAGCCAAACAGAGTTGGCCCTTTAGTAAACAACACACAGAAACACTCCTCTTCCCAAATCTAATTCACCCAGCTCTCAGCACTGTGAATTAGATAACTTGAAGAGACTACAATTGGACCGAAAGAAGAACAAAAGCACACTCAGCTATTTTCTTCTACAAAAACACGGACAAGTTCTAAAGGAGGGATGCTTAGCTATATATATACTAGGATGTGCGAGATAGCCGTTGGAGAAACCGGAAA